GGGGGCGGGGTCGGAAGGGGCGGGGCTTAGGCGAGGAAGGTTTGGGAACCGGCGGCCCGATAGGGGGAGCTAGACCCTTGGAATCCTGTGGCGGTACAACCTGGTGGCTTCTGGAAGAGGCAGGGGGAAGGAGGTACGATCGAGAGATGGGGGAGGGATGCAGGGAAGCAGGCGGTCGCAGGAGAAGAGGGATGCGGCCCTGGAGGGGGAGTTAGACCGGAGGAAGCTAATTGTAATGTGGGAGCTTCTGGAAGAGGGGAGATACTGGTGCGGGGGCCGCTGGGATCTGGGCGCGTGCTCGTTCACCGAACTGGGGGAACGTAGTGGGGGAGAGAGGGATGGGCGGACCTTCAGCTAGGCTTCAGGCCGTGGGAACAGGCTTAGTGAGACACCTAGTGGTACGGCTGTGGCTAGTGAGAAGGCCCTGACAAAGGGCGTGCGTAGATGTAAGGAGGATCCTTCTAACAAGATGCTGGGGGTTGGGTTCAGTGGTGGCTTTCAGGATCACGATGCAGTTGTGGGGAGAACATCACCGAGAAAGAAGAGAGGCCCACGCAGGATAGTGCCGGTTCCTCTAGAGGTGAGTCTCCTCCCACCCTTTCATCCTGGCACTCAAGGCCCTTGCACAGTCCTCAGGAAGGAAAGAGAGCCCTCTTCCTTGGCCCTGTCATTTTTTCCAACCCCAGAGCATCATCTGTCAGAGGATTCCCTCTTTGTACCTTAGAACCAGCCTTAGAACCTGTCCTGGTGCTCTGCTCATGGCCTCCAGGGAGTACATTTTGAGCAGTCTCTGATCCTGCCTTCAGTCATTAGTCTTTCCTTTCACCAGCACCTCCAGCCGGGAAATGACTCACCAGCTCCCGTTAGGCAAGGACAACTCCGTGGATTTCCCTGCAGTCGGGAAGTCCATCGCCTCTCTTTCTTTTTGCCACTGCAGGTAGAGAAGTCTAACAGTGATGAAGAAGGAGATGAGACCAGCAGACCAGCCTACCCTAATGAGGAAGATGAGGAAGAGGAGGAGGTTGCTGGGGCAGGTTTGAGGAGCCTGCAGTACAGGACTCAGTCCAGGATTGAAAAGAAGGTATAAGCTGGGCTTTCTCTTGTCTTCCACCTCAACGTGTCTGTCAGCCTGCTGTCTTTAAAATCTTCTTCTCCATTTTTTTGGTGCTTTGTCATCTCAGTTTCCCCCTCTTCCCTTCCCCTTCCTCTGATAGCCACAGCCTTCTGTCTCTCCCCAGGTCTGTGAGGTAGTCCAGTACCTGCTAGTGAAGGATCAGACAAAAGTGCCCATCAAACGAACTGGTGAGTGATGTGCACCCTCTCAGCTCAGCTCCCAGGATCCTTCCTGCCTTCACCAGCTATGCTGCTCCCTGCCCCTGAGAGGAAATAGCCCCAGCTTGTCAGACTTCAGGCCTGCATTTGTGTCCAGGGGTTTAGATTTTCCCCGTCACTTCATCAGAGTAGCAGGGCAGAGATACATACCCTTTTGTCTTAGGAGTGCCTTGTGGAAAGATCCAGTAAAGGAGGTTGAAGGGGCAGACAGGTTGTAGGAGAACTAGGAAAGAACAGTTTGATGAAAAGCCAGACAGCAGAAGTGACCAACCCATGTCCAATTCTGGGGAAAGGCTGAGGATGAGAGCCCATGGGAGGGGCCTCTAGGCAGATCTCGGTTTTGGTGGGTAGGAAGTTGGAGCTGTGGCTGTTCCTTATTCCCCATAGACATTGTGAACACTATAATTAAAGAGTACAAGGAAATGACCACGGAGATCATCAGCCGAGCTGGTCAGATGTTGGAGCAGGTCAGTGGATGCTGCCAAATCATCAGATATTAGCTGGAGAATATCCAGTGTAATCTTCCCCTCATTTGATGGGGGGGGGGACTACAGTCCTGGATTCTTGTCCTCATGGGATGCTCAGCCCTCCCCGCATTAGCATGTCAAGCGGATGCCCCTCTTTTTCTTCTCTCATTTGCCCGAGTTCCTCAGGGCATCTGGATGGTAAGTCCAGGTCTGTGTCCTCTTTCCTGCGGCCACCCTCACCCTGAATTCCATCCATCTGCATTTTGCCTGGAGTCCCTTCTGCTTCCCAGCTCTGTCCCAGCCTCCCACCAGCCTTCAAGGCGCAGCTCTATTCTCCCCTCCAGTCCTCTAGTCCTCCAGTCCTCTAGTCCTGAGAGTTGGAGCTCCTTTGACCCCTTGCCCTTAGATATACCCCATCTTGTCTCATTCTCTGACATTGGGGTTCAGCGAATGCTGCTTGCTGGTATTTTCCCATGTTTCTCACAGTTTCCAATCTCTTAGGATCTTACCCATCTCCCTCTTATCCAATCCCTCTTCTCTCCTTTGACAGGTGTTTGGAATAGAGTTGAAGGAGATTGATGACAAAGCTCCTGCTTATGTGCTCCTTAACAAATTGGAGCCCCTGGAATATGACTGCATGAGACCGTAAGAGGGAGATCCCCTTACCTCCTTTCTCCCATACTCACTCCCAGAGTTCTGGGACCTCTTGTTCCTTCAGGCTCGTGACACCAAACTAGGGGGAAACTGTCCTGAACAGGAAATACGTGAGAGGACTTGGTGTGAGGCCCCTGGCCTGGCCTTTGTACCTAAGAAGGGCCCTCAGGAGTGCCCCAGGGTTCACTCCTCCTGCTTTATTCAGTGCCAAGAGGGGAAGGTACTCTGGGGCGATTGGCAATGAGGAGCAGAACTCCAGTCAGATCTAGAAAGGGCATTTTGGAGCTGGAAGGGACGCTAGATGATTGAGTCTAGCCCAGTCCGCTCGTTGGGCAGAGGAGGAGACTAAGGCCCACAAGTGACTTGTCTGAGATTGCATAGTGAATTGGCATAGCTGCTGCTTAGGAGGCACGAGGACTGGGTTCCAGCCCCGAGATCTTGGAGAGACAAAGGGTAGGGGTGGAGACTCTCTTTGGTTCGCTGGGCGTTGGAAGGCTTCCCTTGGAAATCAGCCTCCCATGAAGGTGATAGCCTTCTCCATTTGTCTTCCAGAAAACATGATACAGCAAAGATGGGGCTTCTGATGGTGATCCTGAGCCTCATTTTCATGAAGGGGAACTCTGCCAAGGAGGGTAAGTAGCCCCAACCCTCCCCTACGAGAGGGAGGGAGAATGGGGTCTAAAGGAACCAACCTGCGCCTAATTACCCACTCTCTTCTTATTCTCTGTCTCTCTTCAACAGCTGTTGTTTGGGACATGCTCAGGAAGATGCGACTTAACCCAGAGTACGGTGTAGTGATTGAATACTTTCCCTTCTCTTTTCTTGGTCATCCTTTCCCCATGGATAGGATTTGTTAGTCTCCTGGCCCCCACCTGCCCCCACCTCCCCCCACCAGGCTGGCAGGCAGGCTGACCTGTTTCTGACAGTGCTCGGGGTTGATATGGAAACCTCTTGAGACTGGGTATTCTCCCCCAACCCCTTGGATCCTTTTAGCTGTGCTGAGAAGGCCAGGCCAAGGGTAAGAATGAAATCCAGCCCTGGGCTTCTTCACTGAGTTCCAGCACCAGGACGCCCATTGGAACTGTACTTACTTTCCAACAGTCTTGTGAAGTGGGAGATGTAAGTGTTATCGCCCCCCAGTTTATAGATGAAGAAACTGAGGTTCAGAGAAGGTTCCACATTTTAAAAATATTTTCATATTAATTTTCTCAGAGAGTAATATTGTATTTCGTTACCACGCCCTAGTTTCTTCAGCAGTTCCCTGGATTTTGTTTCCTGCCAAGAGTGTTGCTGTAAATGCTTTGGTGCATACAGGATTTTCCCCTTCGTCTCTGCCTTCATCTCATGGCCTCATAGATCCAAAGCTGGGAAGGATTCTTTAGGAGTGGGTCAGACCAGGCGACCTCAGCGGAGTCTTTGTTCATTCTGAGATTGAGGAGCTTAGGAAGAAGTCCCAGGTGCTTTAAGGCTAATAATTAGAGCAGCCCCTAGGTAGAAAAGGCTGCCCTGGCACACAGCAGGCTCCCCTGAGCCAGAGGTCACGGACCACTTGGTTGAGAGGGAAGACTTGTTTGCATACAGCTTGAGCGAAGGGTCCTTCCAGCTCCAAATCCTCGATCACAGTGATCAAACAGGAATAAATCGTAAGCATTATGGTCAAACGGGAATAAGTCTTAACTATTGCAAAGGACTCTCGAGGGCCTCTGGCCCATCCCTCCCGGGGCGAGGAGTGCGCTCTGAAAGCAGCTCTGCCGAGAGACCTCCCTCACTGCCACTGAGTTATCCGCTCAGTTATTCTCAGGCGAATTTGATGTTTGCCTCCTTACGATTCTCACTGCTCCTGACCCTGCTCTGGGGATCCTAGCAGAACAAGCCTGAATTTTTATTCCCAGGGCAGCTAGGGAGTGCTGCCGTGGCTAGACGCCTGAGAGTACAAATCCAGCCTCAGACGCTAGCCGTGTGACCCTGGGCAGGTCACTTCACCCTGTTGGCCTCAGTTTCCTCATCTGTAAAATGAGCTGGAGAAGGAGAGGGCAAACCACTCCAGTACACCCCACATGGGGTCATGAAGAGTTGGACACGACCAGAACTACTGAACAGCAGTAGCAGCATCCCTTTGGATGCTTTAGGGCGCTGATCAAAGCCTCCCTAAGGCTTCCCTAGTTCTCTCAAGGGCTTCTTTTCTGTCTCTGACTTTGCTGCCCAGATGATTCCTTTGCATGAGCTAGAATGGCTTTTTCTTCTGTCTTTAGCAAAAAACATCCACTCTTTGGGGATGTGAAGCAGCTGGTCACCGATGAATTTGTCCGCCAGAGGTGAGCCCTAGCAGTGCTGAGCTTTGTGTTGTGGGAGGTTGCTTTGGGCTCAGATCCGCTTTTCCTACTGGTTCAGAGAGCTGGGTCCCCTTGGACAGGTCTCTTTCCGTCTCTGGGCTGTCAGAGATGGATAATAAACCTTGCTCTATCTCCCTTACGTAGTAATTGTGGGCAAAGTGCTTTGTGAATCTTGGGGCATGAGCCTTTATCAGCCTCTTGGTTTCCATGGTTGTCTGTTGGTCTCCCTCTGCGGCCTTGTGCTTGCACAGAGATCCCCCTCGCCCTTTGACTGGCAAGAACGGTGTGATCAGAGCAGTCGGCAGAGAGCGTGGCCAGGCTGTTTACCACACACCGCACAGTAAAGCCCGTGAGGTCCTTCAATCACAGGGGGGCAGAAGCATTTGCCCCACTGTCTCTCAGTTGACCGTACACATCCAGTCCTTCCAGCCGTGTAGCTCGTGAGAGCACGAGATCATAGGAAGCTTGCAAAGAGGATTAACCCTATATGTATGGGGGAAGGCCTTTGTCCCTGGGAGTCTGGGTGGAGGGAGGAGGCCAAGCTTGGTGATGAGGGCTCTATTTTCCCTCATCCCCAAGGTATTTGGAGTACAACCGGATTCCTTACACTGACCCTGAGGAGTATGAGTTCCTCTGGGGACCCAGAGCTTTCCTAGAGACCAGCAAGATGCAGGTCCTTCGCTTCGTGGCTAAGGTAGTAGCATGGGTGGGGTTTGAGGTGGGGGAGATCAGTAGCTTCTCCTCCCCTGGGCCTGAAGGAGAGGGGGCCCTGGTGCTGCTTAGCTCCTTGGCTTCTGACAGGTGACCACCTCTGCTTTGTCCTAGATCCAAAGGAGGGACCCTCGGAGCTGGGCGGTCCAATACAATGAAGCCCTTCGGGAAGAGGCGGCAACTGCCTCTGCTTCTGCCTCCGCCTCTGCCTCTGCCTCTGCCTCCGCTTCTGCCTCCGCCTCTGCCTCCGCTTCTGCCTCCGCCTCCGCCGCCTCTGCCTCCACCGCCGCTGCTGCCGCCGCTTCGGCTGAGACCGAGGCGGAGGCTGAAGCTGAGGCCGAAGCCTGTGCCTCTGCCTCTGGAGGTTTCCTGGAGTAGGCGAGTGCCCCGTGGAGGTGGCTGTCCCAAAGCACAAGAAGCATCGTTTTCCACGAGCTGTGTGCACAGTAGCTATGAGTTAGGCCCTATTCCCTCTGTAGCCCAGGTCCAATAAAATTGCAAGTTGATCTCCGTGGTCTTTTTGTGCGCCTCTGGGCCTGCCCCTGGGAGCGCTGTGCATGAGGGCTCCCCCGAAGGTCCCTGGCCTTAAGGAGCTGGGCTCCTCAGAGAGGTGGCGGTTGGAGGGGAGCATGTGCTTGGCCCTGGAGCCACAGACACGACCCAGTCTTCATCCTCCCCGCCCCCGCCCCAGCAGATTGTCCAGGTGTGTGTATTTGTCCTGCTTATACTGAAGTTCCCAGATGTGGACTGTGGCCTTGTAGTTTCATGGTGGTGGGGAAGTCACAAGGTAATATTGGAAAGCACAGTGCCTGGTGCATAGTAGGAGCTTAATAAATGGTTGGCCTCTTCCCGCACAAGTAAACAACTGACATTCTTGGGCGCTGTTAAGATTTTGCTTAAATAGCTTCCAGACTCCTGGTATGCTGAAAGACTCAGCCTTACTTAGATAGCGTCCCATTACTGTTGAGTCATTTCAGTCGTGTCTGACTCTCCATGGCCCCCTTTTGGAGTTTTCTTGGCAGAGATACTGGAGTGGTTTGCCATTTCCTTCTCCGGCTTATTTGACAGATGAGGAAACTGAGGCCAACAGGGTGAAGTGACTTGGCCAGGGTCACATGGCTAGTAAGTGTGTGAGGCCGGACTTGAATTCAAGAAGATGAGGCTTCCTGACTCTAGGCCCAGTGCTCTACCTACTGTGCCATCTAGCTGCCCCTGGGCCTTGGGGGTCAGCTAGCTTGAGTTACCTCAATAAGGAGGCAGGAGGGAGCTGGCAGCCAGCTCCTAAGCCAGTCAAGCACAGGTAGAGGTGGGAACTGGACCTGGGATACTGTGGTCTGTGACTCGGAGACAGGGAGTTTTTAGAACACCAAGGGAATGTCACACAGATGGATTGGGGGTGGGGCTGGGCCCAGGTCTTGCTGGCTTCGAGGCCTCCTGGCTTTTCCAGCAGAGGTAGAATCATGTATTGCAAGACCGTGATGTGGCCTTGAACTGTGTGGTTTTGATTGTATGGTGGGGGAGTTCACAGGACGCTCCCTCCAGAGCTGGATGCTTCCCGAGGGCTTGTTTAATCTGACCTCAATTGGTTCAGAGAAGGAAGAAGCCGTGGGGATAATCCACTCCAACTCTGTATTTGCAAGAGGGGAGAAATAAGGGCTGGATTTTGCCAGTGTTCCCAAAGGAGTTGGGGGGTCTAAGGTAATTATGGACACCAGTGGCCGGAGCGTTGTTAGAGGACGGAGACTCCAAGGCCCACTGACGTCCCCCTGGCCCTTCCCCCACGCCCCCCATGAGAGCCCTGGATTGTCTTGTGATTGGCTGGCAAGTATTGTGGTCTTGTTTCAGAATGATCCATGGAAAGTGCTCCAGAAATGCTAGTGGGTTGAATTAAGCAGGCTGACCGTTTCAGATGATCTCCCCACACACAGAGAACTTGGTGATTTTATTGTGTTGCAGGGTAAGTCCACGTGGAGGGGTGCATCAACTGCTTTGGTTTCAGCATGTGAACTGTTGGGGGTGCCTAGAGACACTCCTCATCTCTGAGAGGCCCAGTGGACTTGAGGTCAGTCCTTAGCTGTGCCCCTGGGAATCCTGAGTGCCGGCGGCCACATGGTATAGGCAAGGGCCTGCTTGGGGGCAATGTTACTGGCTATCTTTCTTCCTTACCCTTTTGTATCATTGGCTTCTCTGCCTCTCCCCCCTGCCCCCACCCCCTTTTCTGATCAGCCTTGGTTTCCAAAACCAACGTGGCTAAACCAGGGCCTGGCTTTGGTCTTTGCTCAACTGAGAGACTGGAAAACTGGATGGGAGATGTGGATCCCTTTGCTAGTGGGTAGGCCAGCCTCTGGCTGTGGGAATGAGAAGGGAATGTGGCTCTCTAGCCTGTCCCAAGATGCTTAGTAGTGAGCTGGCACTGTATCCAGGGCTTCTTCAGGTTCACGGGTGACATCCACGTTCTGAAACAAGAGGGTGGCAATCAATATAGGATGAGTTCTGGACTGAAAACCTAGGAGACCTGGATCCTGGCCTGATTATTGCTATCTTACTGTGGGACCTTGGGCGAGGGCTTTCCCTTCTGCTTTCTCAGCCTCAGTGTCGTGTGTCCCGTCCCGTCCCGTCCCCGCCCCCCTCCGGTGAAGCAAGGGGGCTGTACTCAACTCGGGTACCTTTCTTTCAGTCCTGACATTCTGTGACCCCGGTTCGTTCTGGCCCAGAGGAAGCTGGCCAGGCTTTAGAACTGTGGACAGAATGCCCTGGCCTTCAGGGCCATTTCTGACCTGATTTCTCACTAGCTCCTTAGGGGCACCTTCCACTCCTCCAACACTGGGCTTTGCACGCAGTGAGGACAGCAGTGGCCGGAGAAAGCTCTGCTTATTAGTGGTGCTGACTAGGGGCAGCTGGGTGGCACAATGGATAGAGCCACCTGGATCTGGTCAGGGAGGCCTGAGCCCAAATCTGGCCCCAGACACTTCCTAGCTGTGTGACCCTGGGCAAGTCACTTCACTGCTGCCTGCCTCAGTTTCCTCATCTGTAAAATGGGGGCAATAACAGCACCTACCTGTCAGAGTTGTTGTGAGGTTCCAGTGAGATAATAAATGTAAAGTGCTTAGCACAGTGTCTGGCTCCTAGTAGGCACCTAACAAATGCTTGTTATGCGTCAGCCTTGAGGCTGAATGGGAGGGACAGACACCTCCTGACCCCCTCTCTTCTCTGCTCCTTGCCTCTCTGCATCGCTGGGACCACCACCAGCCCTCAGCACGTCCTTGGTTGAGCTATTGAAGCCAGCCAGTAGGTTGTAACCAGTCAGGCAGGAGGAAGTGAGTGGAGTGGTAGCCCCCCAAGAGAGACTCCCTGGGCCAAGGGAGGGGAAGGGAGGTTTACCTGAGCGTTCAGGGAAGGGAGGGCTTCACTCAGCTCTTCCAAGTAGGGCTGTTTGGTTGGTGGGGGGCTGGCCAGAGGAACAGGGTGGAAGTTCCTGTGTGTGGGAGCATGGCTAGCTGAGCAGATGGAGGGGTGTGGGGCGGGAGAGGGAGGACAAAAATACAGGTGATAGCCCCCATCGCCAGCCCAGCTCCAAGGCCAGCCCTCCGTGAAGCCTTCCTGGATTACTGCAGCTCGTGGAAGGGGAGACACGTAGGAAGAGAGGGAGGCTGGACATGGGACCAACATAGGGCCGGTTCTGTTTCGGGGGCGCGAGGCATTAGTTCTTCCGACCAACCGCCAGTAACAGCCATAGATTCTTGGAGTCAAAAGGAACTTAGCGACCGGGTCTGACTAACACAGATGAGAAAACTGAGGCCTGACAGAGAGAGGAGGACACCCTCTGGCCTCTCCCCTGGAAATGTGACAGCAGACACAGGTGCTGTGTTGGCCATGAGATCTCTCTTTCGAGATCAGTGTACCCAGCTAGCTGCCCGCTTTCCAGATGAAGAAACTGAGGATCCAGCAGAAGGGTAAGATCTACTGTAGTACCGCCACCCCCACTCATCTCCCACCCCTAATGGCAACATTATGTCCCTTAGCTGCAAGATCCCGCCTGGAATTAGGAAACTGAGTTGGGCTTCGGGTCATGGCCCTGAAGTTGCCCATCTGAGGCTTTCCCCACTCGTCTCCTCCACACCCCCTTGGCTGGCCTGGCCCTGAACTATAACAGGGTGGCTGACTGGCAGTCGAGGCAGAGTCAAGGCTGTGGCCGCAGTGAAGGATCTGCCGGAACTCCTATTGGCTGAGCGTGTCCCGCCTCGGGGTGCTGCCTTCCCATGTCAGTGGGGAGGGACCCAGCCTGATGCTAATGGGGGGCAGCAGCCCCGGGGCCATACGCCGCCTGCCCACCTACCTCGGGCTTTTCCCGGTGGGTGTTCACCGCCTCCACATTCAGGTAAATGGAGTCAACTTTGCAACCTGAGAATGGGGGAAGGGAGAAAACAACCCTTCAATTCCACCACACTCACAAATGGAAAGGGTCTTGAATGGTCACCAAGCTCAGGAGAGAGAGGAGGGAGAGGGAGAGAGAGAGATAGAAGGAAGGAAGAGAGAGGGACAGACAGAGAAAGGAAGGGGAGGGGGAGAGGAGAGAGGGAGAGGAAGAAGGGAGAGGGAAAGACAAAGGGAAGGAGAAAGAGAAGGGAGAGGGAGAAAGGAGGGGGAGGGAGAAAGAGGAGGGAGGGGGAGAGGCAGAGGTGGATGGAAGAGAGCAGGAAGGGGCAAACAGGATAGACAAGAAGGGAGCTCAGGACAGCAATCAGGGCCGCCCACATTTAGGGGATGGGGACACACGCTGCTGGTCCAGCAGAGGAGCCTGAGAAGGAGCCTGCAGGCAGGCGGGTAGGATGGCCAACAGGAAGCCCGTGGGGCCAGGAGAAGAGGCCATCCTGCATCAGAGGCTGCAGAGAGGTCAAGGATGAGGAGTGAGAACGGCTCTTGCAATTTTGCAGTGATGAGAAGAGCAGAGCCTTTGGTTCTGGGGCAATGTTGAGGTTGGAAGCCAGACTGCCAAGAATTGGGAAGACACTGAGAGGAGGAGTGCAGGCAGATGTGTGAGAGTGGTGAAAGGGCCAGGAAGTAGAGGGTACCAGCTTGAAGTATTAGTGATGCCAGGACTCCGAAGGCCTTGCCGTGAGGCCTGGACTCTGCTCCTGACTTGCTGGGTGGCATTGGGGGTGCTCCTGCATTTCTCTGGGCCCTAGTCTTTCTGTCTGTAAAATGGGTACGCATATGGCTGGAAGGGGGAGAAGAGCATTGGGCGACTCCATGCATCCCTTCCCACTGTGATCTGCACTGTCTGGTGTTGGGCGTAGGGAGGAAAAAGTTGGTGGCAGTTACCATACATTGGGAACCAGGGTGGGGTACATTGTGGCACTCACCGTAAGCCACTGGGGTGAGTTTGAGTACTGTGTGCAGGGGACACTTGAGATAAGGCAGCTCCTCTGGAAGGGAAGGAAGAAAGGGTCGGCCAGAGGAAAGACCACCTGTCCATCCACTGTCTTTCCACCCATTCGGCTCCCCCACCCCCTAGCGCCTCCCTCAGCCATCTGTCTACCCACCACCAACAGCACATGCCAGCCTATCATTCGGGGGCTGGGGACACTGGTGGAGCCCCTCAGGCACGTGGGGGGACTGCACAAACCCTGCTTGCTACCAGATTGTTTCTGCCAGAGGACCGATTCCCTAAGCACACTGGCTCCTAGGTGACAAACTCTTTGGCCATGGCCACCCACGGAACAAAGAGAGATCCACAGCGTAAGACCACAAGTGGCCTTGTCCTTAAGTGAGCCTAAAGGATAGCATGGCCAGCCCGCATGCTATCAGAACCGGAGGGAGGCCCTGATTTTCCCTGGAGGATGGGGAGGAGAAGGTCCGGCAAGAATCCATCTGGATGACAGGCTGCAGTTGGGCTGAGATCTGCACCCACCTTGGAGGGAGGAGCTCCATAGACATGGGTTTCATGGAAGGATCCCTAGATGGGGTGAGGGCTAGGGACTGGCCGAGGGAGCTCTGTGGTGAGGAGACTCCCTGTGCCAATGCAGACTGGCACCTACTTTGCAACATAGTCTTACAGAGTGGCCTGGGGCCCTGAGAACTGCAGTGACTTGACCAGAGTCACTCGACCAGTCTATTCCAGAGGACTTGAACCCAAACCTCCCATTTCTCGACTGTTTAAACGTATATAAAATGATTTCCTCATAGCAATCTGTTAAGGTGGCTATTGTGAATATTATCTCCATTACAGAGGAGGAAACTGAGGCTGAGGGACGTATCCAGGGTCACTTCTGGGCTGGGGAGTTTCAGAGTTGTGTATGTTGTCCTGCCCACTCTGGCATGCTGTCCGTTTCCAGGATGCCACAAGATGCTGTGGCCTCTGGTTAGCTGAGCTAGGCCGAGCCTGGCCAACAGATGCCCAGATGAATGCTGAGCCTGGCCTTCTTAGAGCTGCCAAAGGATGCATTCCACTGGCATCATCTTTGAGAACCCAGGCACACCTCCAAGTCATGCCATCCCCCCTTCATTTTTTTTTGCAATAATGCTTCTCTTTTAACAGATAAAGCACATTCCACCCCTACATAGCACTAGGCTTTGCCTGCTCCATGTTTTTGAAGGCTTCCCGTGTAGGCAGCATCTTTTTTGCAAATGGCATTTAGTAATAATGCTGGGCCATCTCTTTTAGTAGAGGTCTGTTCATCTTTTTTTTTTAATTAAATGTTGGTGTATCTTGTCCTAAGCAAACCACTGTTAGGACCATGGCAGACTGATGGAGGCCTTCTCCCACTGACTGTGTCTGCTTTGTATTTAAGGGTGTTCACTGAGGACTGCTTCCACCTGGTGAGTGCCTCTGGTCTCCCCTTACAAGCCCTGCCGCTCTCCCTACATCCGCACCCACGTCAGGGTGGGCCAGTCCGTGCCTGGGCTCTGGCCCGGACAGGATGTTTGGTGTTACCTGCACTCTTATCCAGAAAGTAGGCCAGGAGACAACGCATCACAGCCTGGTGGCAGATCACCAGCACGTTCTCCTGACGCTCCAATTCCATGATCACGGGCTCTAGACGTTGTACCAAGTCCTCATAGGACTAGAAGGGAGAGACAGACTGTGGCATGAGCAAGAGAGGGGAAGAGCAGAAACCCACCTGCAGGCCAGAGGCAGGCTAGGACCTCCTGGGGGGGCGTCCCTGGGAGGTGTCCCTGGGAGGCATGGCTTCTTGCTCCGGTCTTTGTCCTTGAAATCCTCAGCTAGCTCTGGGAAAGTCCTTCCCGACCCCTCTCAAACCCACTGCTCACACCCCTGCTCCTCAGATTCTTTCTCAGTACAATGAGTCTGATGCCCCTGGTCTGCAGGGTGTGAGATCAGGGGAAGGAAAGCTCCAGAGGGCATTGGTGTCTCCCTCACTCCACTGGCCAAGGCAGCCTCCTCGGGAAGCCTCCTAGGGACCTCGGAATCCAAATGCCCTAGGGATGAGGGAGTGAGCTGGCCTGGACCCATGTGGAACTTGTATCTCATCCACCTGAGGCAGGCCATTTTTCACTGATCATGGGCTCTCTCTCCTGGGCCACTGCAGCCCAGATAGGGGCCTACTGTGGGTGGAGTCTCAGGGTAGGTAGTGAGTGAGTGGAAGGCATCTGGGGGGCCTGAAACCAGCCGAGGAGGCTCCCCCTGGGGCTCTGGGACTGGGGCTGGCAGGTGCCCCCTCACCTCTCCCTTGGGGTAGCGGTAGCGATATTTGTCCTGGTCTCGAAGTGCAAATTCTTCTGGGTAATGCTGTTGGATCTCTTCATAAGTCATCTCTTCACAGACACCCTAAAATGCGGCGGCAGGAAAGAGATCTGGGCCAGGTAAACTGGGATGTGGGCCCATGCAGCTATGCACAGAATAGTTTTGAACATGCTAGGGTTTGTGAGTGTCTGCTTTCCCTCTGCATCTCCAGCTTCAGCATGCGTTGGGGGAATATACATGTGTGCTTCTGGAGAGTCTGTATGTGTGTGTGTGTGTGTGTGTGTGTGTGTGTGTATACGTGTGTACCTCTGGTACAGGTGTGTGAGTCTGTGGGGTGGGTGTGTCTAATAGTGTTCATAAGAGTGTCTGTATTCAGGTATGCATAGCCATAGCTTTGTGTGTGTGTGTGTGTGTGTGTGTGTGTGTGTCTGCAGTATCTGTGTGTGCTTTTAGTGTTTGTGTTTGGCTCTGGTTGTGCACATGTGTCTCTGGCCTGTCTATAGCCATGTGCCATGTTCAGTGTGTCTGTGAAGCGTGCATGTTAATTTCTGCCTGTTTATGGTACGTGCGTATATATGCATCTGTGGTATGTATGTGTCTATGTACATACATGTATGAATGTGTATTGGGGGATGGTACGTTTGTGCATGCTAGGATCTTCCCAGAAGGTTACTGTCTTCAGGGACCTTATTAGGCTATCCCTCTTGTCTCACAAGGCCATGTCCCCCAGTAGCATCCTCTTGAGTTGACAGGCCTCCCTCCCTCCCTCCCTGCATCTCTCCCTCCATCCATCGATCCATCCATCCCTCACTCACTCACAGCATCTATCTCATTCAGGGCCTTCCACTGCTCGTAAGGGACCCTCAGGGCCTCAGCTGTCTGGATAGTTCTCTTCATGTGGCTTGTCCAGACCTTCAGGGAGCTGATGTCCTGGGACTGGATGAAGTTAGCTAAGGTGTATGCATACTGCAAAGTAACAGGGAGAAGGGAAATGGAGACTTTCTCTTTAGGCCCTGCCTGCTATGACATATCAGAAGAAACCCTGTCTGGTGCAACTCAATCCAATTCAGCCCTCATTAGTTAGATGTCTACTTTTGTGCAAAGCGCTGTGCTCAATTCTGGGGACAGAAGGGTCCAAAGGAGACACAGTCCTTGCCTGAACCGTGCTTCTCTTCTATCTAGAGGATGCTGTGTGCACAGAGAGAGGCAAATTCCAAGTGATTTGAGGAGAGAAAGCATTAACAGCTGGGAGAAATCAGCAAAGTGTTAGGTAGGAGGTCTGGCCTTTAAGGAAGCTACAGATTGAGGGGTTGATGGAGTTGAGAGATGGACTATTGAGTTTGGGAAACTGTTAGCAGTCCAGTTAGGCTGGAATGTGCAGTGGGGGGTGGGGTGGGGATAAAGTGAAATAAAGCTTAAAAAAAAAAAAAGGCAATAAGGCTAGACCAGTGAGGTGCAGCTACACTGGGGGCCTTTAATGCAGGCTGAGGAGCTGGGGTTTATTCAAGGGACAGTAGGGACCCACCGAGAATTTCTAGCAGGGGTGGCATGCTCCAAGCTGTGTGTTAGGGCTTTTGTCCTAGAGAGGGGAGGGTCCTCGGGAAGCAGAGAGCCCAGTAAGGAAGTTACCACACTGGGCCAGGCACATGGTAGGGAAGGCCTGAGCCTGGGAAATGGGGACAATCCTCAGCACAAGATGATGAGGCATGAAAGAGGGAAGGGGAGAGGCAGGGGAAGAAGGGAGAGAGACAGGAGTGAAGCACTGAGTGCATTCATAGCTTTAGAATGTGCATTTCTGTGTTTCTGTAAGTGAAGGAAGGAGGGAACAAACAAAGGAATAAAGCCATTCTGGAAGGAATGAGGGAGTAAAGAGAAGAAAGAATTAGTAGAGGAAGAATGGAATGAAGCAAGGCAAAGAACGCATGAGCAAAGGAAGGCATGACTGAAGGAAGGAGGCTGTAGAGAAGGGAGCAAATGAGTGAGGGGTGGAAGGGAGGGAGAGAAGGAGGGAAGGAGGCATGGAAGAATGGTATAAGTGGAGGAATGAATGAGGGAAGAAAAAA